CGGGTTATCTGGCGGATATAACAAACTTGGTCAAATCTTAACATTTTTTGCAGCAAATGTCTGCATATCATGAAGTTATTTAATTTTCTTAGCTAAAATAATTCCTGATGATTTGATAAATAAGGTATATTGGCAGCTATTACAACGCACGCTAAAACCTAGTAAAAATCAACTGTGAACCAAAGTTGACCAGATCGCACCAATATGACCTAATGTGCCGTCGTGAAAACCGTTTATGTCGCTATCGTTAGAAGTCATTACCAAATTAACTAGCTATTGACTGGGGGGGGAGTTTAACACCCCACCCCACCCCCCACCGAATTTTTGCAATAATTCAAGAACTAATCAAGCGATCGCACTGAAATTTACTAAAGCTTCTCCTGCATCAGTTTTGTATCGTCTGTATTATAAGTTTCGTTTGAATGCATCGAAAAAGGTCGGGTAATGATCGATTTTGTGACGACACTCAGGGTGTCCGCAAAGTCCTGGTGCTTTCAACATTAAAAAATGCCTTTGATTCATGGATATTCAACAATAGATCAAAACAATGACCAGGGATACCAAGCCACCTACTCCCGCTAAGTGTTTATTCAATGAAACCACCATCTGCGCCGACGACGGCCTCGACGCGGGGGCGGAAGCGCCTGCGGGTTTTGGCGATGTAGGACATTTCCAGGTCCTCCAATGCTGCCATGATGCTAGTCTTCAGCGACTCCAGGCTGGGATGAGATGTAGCCCAGAGCTCATTCTGTAAAACGCGTAGCACGCCTCACTCGAGTAGAAGGAGAATACGGCGGCCTAATCTCATTTTGCCACGGTGATCTGGCACAAAGATCTCCTCTGTCAGTTTGGCTTGGACGGTGGTGGCGTTGTTGAAGGGCGCTCAATGCTGCTGAAATGCGAAGTGAGGGCAATTCGCCCTGCCCCTCGGGTTGATGTGCCTGTCCAGGAACTCCACGTGTACCAGTCTGTTATTCATTTATTGGACATTGACGAAGATGATGGAGCATTTTTGTCTATCACACCCCCCAGCTTTTCTTCGATTGCCGCTGAAATGCTCGGTAGCTCTCGGTAGTTTTGTCATACCGCGGTCGTACCGGTCTGAGGATATTTGCTAAGGAATTCCCGATTCGAATTAAGCCTTTACCTGTTCAAACAACGCCGCATCGCGCTGCAACTGGCGCCTCGTTTAAGCCGCACCCGCCCGCCGCGCGCGGGCATTCCGCGACAAGGCGCATTTTCGCCCATCTACCCATCACTGAAGACGACTTCAAGGTCAAATTTACACGACCCCTAGCTGAGCGGTCAACGAGGCGTCATGTCTGTAGTGATTGGCCGAATGTCCAATAATCACAGCGCGCGATAGACGGAGTCCAAAAGAGGCGCCAGAACTTACCGGACACCCAATAGTACACGCCAGTTTCGGCCGAATCGTGGCATAACCTATTATCTTTCTACATGGCGTATTTTTGACAAAATTGCAAATAATAACCATGAAATCAAAGGCATCAAGTATAACGCTCCACAAACTGACTGTCTTTGATTTTCGAAAAGCCAGGTTTTACACATTGTCAAATGTAATGTACATTATATTTGAGGCAACTATCAAGCAAAAGCATATTGACCCTTTCACCGGGTACCTGTAACAAGTAACAACACCATTTGATGCATAATTCATTTTACACATTCATCATGTGTCCGGACAATAGGCAGCATTGACATATGATATGGCATGTCTCCCGGCAACTCCTCAACGTTGCAACACGTTACTCACATACAACTATCCGATTGTATATGCACCTTTTACTAAGCACAAGCGGAATATTACAGTCGCGTCAGCTTGAATGTTTTTTATGTTTGCTATTCGTAGCGAGGTCTAAGAAGACTCGAATGCGTAGGTGTATATTCTCATGTAGCTATGTACTTACTTCAAGCTCATCATCCTACTTGGTCATTTTTACTATTGTAGCATTTTTGATGTAATGTGAATGGGATTCATTTCTACATAGTACCTACATTTATGTCAGTTCCTGGCAATTTTCGTGCTGTGGAATGGTAATATCGAAAATGGTTATGAAAGCAAGCTTACTGATCAGCTTTAGTGCTGGTGTCCGCCGCATTAGTGCACGAAGCTCGTAGGACATAACGTCGTACATCTTCGTCACCTTCGTCCTAGCAAGCATTCTTCATTGATGAGTCATCACATAAATTAGCTCGCAGCTCCTCAAGATGCATACCAGCGTGACAAAATAGCGTCATCAACTACTGAGACTAACGGTTCGGCGTGACCGTCGTACGCCGATCCGGCTTTTTACACTGGGCGGTAAGGCCGACCCGCGACCTCGGCAACGCGTGAGGTCTGCAGTAGGTCAACCGAGTTCACCCGGCGCGCGCAAAGTGCCGACGATGAATGCTTCAACAGCGGCGCTGCTTCATTGTCATTCAAACCGGGTGCGTGCCTTGCAATATCAATCGTGCTCAGCTCGGAGGATATGCATAAGCGGTTGCCATTTCTCGACAAAAGCGCGCACAGTGGGGCTGGGAGTGTGCCTTCTCTCGTCGCCGTGCAGCTGCCGCCGCTTCCAGAACACACCTCAGGTGAAACCTCGACGCGCCGGCGGCCACCCAGCGCCGTCCGTGACGTCACGACCGACTCGTGTTTATATGCGGGTCCGTGACGGCGGCACATCAGTGCGCCGGCCGCCGTCCCCGTCCTCAGCACCGCTCCGACCCAGGAACGCAACATGCTCGCCGCCGCCGCCTTCGCCGCCGCCATGGGCGCCGCCCAGGGCCTGGACCTGGACCTGGCCTCGCGCATGGAAGACGTCATCGATCCGCGCTTCTTCATCATCCTGAACGGCAGCAACACGGACAACGTGGGCCAGTACGTGCTGGGCGCCATCGGCGTGGTGCTGGTGCTGGGTCTGCTGCTGATGCTGCTGCTGCTGGCCTTCGGAGGCGCCGGCGGCGGCGGCCAGGGACTCGCCTACAACCGCTACGACCAGTACGAGCCGGACACGTACGCCAGCTACCAGAACAACTACCAGCCGGCGCAGGGCTTCAACGGGTTCCAGGCGCGCTCGCTCGCAGGAGGTGAGTGGAGGAGGGTCGAACTGCTGGAGCATGCAGGAATGGCAACGGAATGCCTCTAAGACGACAATGGAAGGTGGTGATGAAACTTTTTGGGTTTTGAAGTCCGGTAAAGTGAAAGGTAACGAACAAAAGCTCTAACTTTTTTTGGAAGGCTTAGATGGTAGTATTGGTCAAAGGAATTTTGACCAATGTCTGAATTTACAACCAGCTAATCAATTGAACAGCATAAAAAGAATATAACAAATTACAATAAAGGTACAATCTAGTATTATTACCTAAATCAACCGTACGCAACCTTACGAATTAAAACGGTTCATTTGATGGACTATTACTAGATACGGAGCAGCGTATTTAGAAATTAAAAGCCAGCAACGACCATTTTTCACGGCCGTTTTCAGTTCAATTTTCATTAGCTCAATCTTCGAAGATGTGATGAAAGAATCATATGTTCCTACTTTTATCCTTACTTCTAATTAAGTGAACAAGTAACTTTGGCTTATGACAACATAAGTGTTGCCATGGCAAAAACTCGTTCTGCCATGCTGAATTTACGAAATAATTATTTCATTTTGCTAACTATCATCGTGAAATTAGACAGGTTGAGAAGTAAATACAGCGAAGACAATTGTTAAATTGTTACAGTAAAATCTTCAAAAAGTCGTTAATCGTAAATCGTTAGTTGTTAAATCGTTATTAGACACCTCAATTTCCTCATCAATACCTAGCCCATCAAGTTTTGGTCTTTAAGCATGCAAGTATGTTTTGTTCTAAAAAAAAGTTTGACTGAAAGTCATAAGTATAAGTCAATTAAAGATCTTTGCTGCATTTATTTTCTCAAACTATTGTGATGTCATCTGCACGATACGCAGACGTGGAATTTGTATCAGTACAACCTATCATGTCCTTTATATGCCTTTCTAATCACAGCATATCATACATCATCTGAATATTTTCTAAACCTTTTTAGACATTTTAACCGTGGTAGTTCGACAATACCATTATGTACTTATGTTTCATTTCCTTTAAATTATATGCAGACATGTCTTTCTTATAACCTAATGTAATAATTAACAGTGTTCGATATGACATCCTGATTTCTCTGCTCTGATAGCAGGATTTTAACATTCTATAACCTGACTCGAGGCATTTTAACTATAACCTGACTCGAGCCAACCTCCTTATTTTTGTTGTTTAATACTCTGGTTGAGTCTGCTCGTCTTTTCCCATAGTTTAAAGGCCACATTTCTCACGGTAATGTTCCGCTTCTCGCGTATGGAGCCTGCTTGTCGTCACAACAGGTCTTGGAAACCGGCTACTCATCGCCTCACAGGTTATGGGAAGCCTAATAACGCTTACTTACAACCGTAAGCACACTTTGAGTCGCTAGCTGTCTCGAATGTTTCTCAAAGAACGTAAGATGGATGGGTGGGTGATAGGACTAAATAAATGTGATAGCCAGGCCACGATTACGATTTGATCGTGAGACCGTGCATGTTATACTCATCGACAGCACGTACATATTTGATATATCATAATCTTCTCGACATGTATTCTAACCAGCTATTGTGTTGACCCCCATAGCTACTTCACATTATCATTTTTTTTTATTTATTTCTTTGGGCTGCTTATCACCTTTGTTACCCAATTTTCGCCTATCATACATGGGTCCATTTTTATAATAGTTACCAATATTTACTATCTCCCATGTTTGAGTTATTACGATAGCGTGAATCGGGGCTCGACCGGACACCGATATCCTATATCGTCTGTCACGGTGCCATAGCAGCGTCACGTGACGCCGCCCGTGACGCCGGGTACTACACGTGGCTGGCGTCACGGCTGGTTACATCTGGCCTGTCGTGGTACTCGTCACGGTATCATTCGATAAAAGAAAAGCGAACCGTTTTCACCGGCCTTTTCTGTGTCTGTGAGAAATGAGAATGGCGTCTGACATGATGACGGCAATTAGAAGAGGAATGGATGTAATGAGAAAGTAGAAAACTGTCTGGAGAAGGGTGATCCCCAAAGTAATACCCAATAAATGGATAACGATTTTCGACTGCCTCATCGCACGCAGAGTGGAACAAGCATTTATGGCATTATCGAATGAGAATATTATCAATACACCAACTATTGGGCCACTAACATCGAAATCGGAAATTGTGCACAAACCTTGGTCTTCCTTCCTTTCCAGCTTGGTGTACACTTCTGAACGTCGGAGTTTTATGAAATTCCGTTTTACATCTGCATTGCAATGATACCAATTTCATCATCAGAAACAAACACCTTTCAAGTGAACATTGGGCGGAGCACTTGAGATAACAAAAACACATTATCGAGCTACATATTTGAGTAAGCAAGATTAAAAACAGCATTTGACATCGACGGTGTTCAAACATCCTTAATCCTTTGCCTCCAATCTTACGTCGCAATTCTTTTTTCAGTTCTTACCTCCCTCTCTGTAACCTGCATGTCTGTTGGCCGCAAGTGCCACCTTGCTATCGTTGCCTGCACAATTACGTCGTGTTTCAGAGTTTCGCCATGGCCAGGGGTGCCATCATTCTGCTACCCACACTGTGGCTGATCTCAGCCATCACCTCGTGCGGCGCCGACACCGGCGGATTTGTTCCCAACCCACACCCGTTTCACACGGCTGCCGACCTCAACTCCATCTACACCGGCGGCCAGCCGTCCAGCTACTCCTCCTACAAGACGGCCAACGGGTTCACCGTGCTCCCTGGCGGCTCTGGTGCCACGTCTAAGTACAACTTCAGCGCCTCTCAGTCTGCTGTGAAACAGGACCGTCAGGGGATTCTGCTCGCCACGCAGCGTCCTGAGGTCCATCCGGAGGATCGTGACGACGCCTACGACTTCAACGAGTATCCTCCGGAGGACTTCAACTCGTACTCGCGGGAGGACCTGCGCCGGCTGCGCACCAAGTGCTACCAGTTCCACTACCACTACGGGCCGCTGTACGATGTGCAGAAGTCCTTCCAGGGCCTGCGCCGCACTGTGCAGAAGACGGCCAGCAACACGGCCAGAGATTTCTACACCACTACCGGCAGGCTCAGCCATGCCATCAACCGGTCTGCCAACGGGTTCGCCCGCTTCATGGGCGGCCTCGGCGGCAAGGTGATGTTCACCGTACTGGCCACGGCTGCTGCGCTGCTCTTCATCTCCCTACTGCAGATCGGCATCAACGTCAGCGGCCCGCGCCTCTGTCGCTGGAATTTTGGACACTTTTGCGGGCTGGACGTCCACTGTGCGCAGTGAGCCGGCGGCCAGGAGCAGCCGCGGTCTATCAGGTGACGGTGGGATACAGAATGGCGACCCCGGCATTACCGAACGATGTGTGCACCTGTCAGCGCACGGCAGACGATAGAGCAGCTTCTTGTGTTACACCACCCCTTCACCGACACGGATTCGGCACCAACTGAAGTGTTTTGCACCTCCCGATTGACTTATTTCAACCCTTAACTGGTACAGGGACCCGCAGTTGCTACTGTACACATATATTACCAATTTAGAATTGCGCTATTATTTGCTAAGTGCTGGCCATTGGAGAAAGGAAATGTAGCGCAAAGTATGGAGGAATAACACATGTTTGCTCCTAGCACGTATGTTTTGCATAATTCCTCTTACCGCAACAGATATTCTTCCAAAACTACAATCGTGCTATTTTTCCGCGCCGGTTGCCTCCCCAGAGCCCGTCCTTGGTATCGCCTATAGCTTCCGTTACCGCTACGTGAATGAAAGTCACGTGACTACTACAGGTTTGCGCTCAGTACTAACACACCTAGCCCGAGGGCCGGTCCGTAGCGGGGAGGGGTAGAACGCCTGAGCTCCAGCGCAGTGGAGGTGGTGGTGGCCCGTATCATAAAGAGGCAACCGTAAGCAGAACTGCAATTGCCGCAGTATAAGATTATGATCAAGTTTTCTTTAAATGTATTGATTGACAAGAAAGTGCAATGTTTATCCGATATAATAAAACGGTGTCCAACGCCTTGGAAGAACTATAAAACATATTCAGCAACGCCTATAAATTTCTGATACAGGCCATGACCTTTCACCTTGCCTCCGGGGAGGACCGCTCAGGAAGCCACATACCGAACGAATCGAGGCCTCGCAGCGCGGCGGCAGAGGAGGTGGATAAACCATCGCCAGATCTTTCGATTACTTATGTTTCCAGAAGGAGGGGGGGGTGGAGGGGGGCTATTTTCAACCCACTCACCAATCCTTTCCTTATTAACTTATAGCTTACCGAAAAATGCAACACAATGGTGGCCGTCACGAGATGTAGCGAAGAGTGCCTCAGCCACACCGGTTTCGAGTAAACTTTAAGCATTCGAATTTAGGCCAGTGATCCTGAATCATTATTTTATTTTTGTCGTGCATAAGCTGGGATGACGTGGTCCAAGTTAATTGCGAAGAAACGGTTTTAGTTTCAGAACATTTATGAGGCTAGTCGCGCCAAATAGTATAGGGTAGACCGGGGCAAGTCGCCCCGCCGAGGTAAAACGCCTCACCGATGTTTCTCGGAACTGGCAAGGTTCTGGGGAAACATCCTCTCTTTTATAAAACGTGCACTATATGATCATTATATGAGCAAACTGGAAAGAAATTGTGATAACTCTTTAGGGAGATATAGCCAAAAATTTGTTTTTGGAGTGATTTTTATGTTTTGCAGTCAGATTACGCATCACGGCGTTCTTTTATTGTCCACATCAGGTTAACGACTTTTATGTATTTTGAACAACGTAGTGTCTAACGCTTATAATAATGGGTTGGTCCGTTTTAAATTATCTCTTGCTGGAGTGCAAGGCGTTGTTCTCTGACCGAACTACGTGATGGGGTAAAACGCCCCAGTAGGTTGCGGGGCAAAAAGCCCCATGGGGCGTTTTACCTCATGTGTTGTTCCGAATACCCACTTCCTAATGTTCGGTAACTGGCGAACAGTAAGTTTTTATGCAATTTTATGTGCTTTTCTCAGCAAATTAATGGCATAGGAAGTATTTTGTTAACATTTGCATTGCAATAATTTATTATTTGGCCTTATGAGCCAGATGAAAAACCTGTACATACAATAGTGTCATAGCTGAACACCTGACAGAATGGAAGGTGCTAACTTCAGTTCCGTGCCTCCCAAGGTCTAAAGGCCTGGCTACACTATGCGTTTTCTTCGTGCGTTTTTTGCGTGTTTGCGTGTTTTGCGTGATATCGTTCTAGAAAAAGGAACGATATTACGTTTTTGCGATGTTTTTCACCTTAAATTTTAGTTACATAAGAGTTATAATAGCTTTTGTATATAACCAAAGTAAAAATTATATTGTTTATAACTTTTTTCCTAGAACGATATTACACAAAACACGCAAACCTGCAAAAACGCACGCAAAAAACGCATAGTGTAGCCAGGCCTTAACGGGCCTCTCATATAAGATTTAGTCAACTAGCATGTTTAATCTTTAATCTAGAGTATGGGGCTTCTTGCCCCAGGCCGTGGGGCGTTTTGCCCTGGGGTTGGGGCAAAATGCCCCTTTTGCAGTTGCTTCACAAATCACTTCCTAGCTGGGAGTTCGATCATAAGTGAATGAATTTGACGGGTGGAATTTAAAGTAAAATGTCCAAACAACGCATTGAGCACAAATTTGGCCTTCCAGGTGATGTGGGACAAAAGTTATGTAGCAAAATAAATTATCTGGGGCGTCTTGCCCCAGGCTACCCTACGTTTGTTGTAAAATGTCAAATAGAATGTTGACGTGCTATCCAGATGATGGAATTTATTTGACACAAGAAGTCAAAAAGTGGCATCGTTAGTCATCCTGCATACCTATAAATCGATTCGTCACCTTGGTTCGAGCTCAATAGTTCTTTTCGCGGATGATCGGTTTCGTTTTCTTTTATTTGGGGGGGGGGGACAGTTTATGAGCCAGTAACCACCCTCCCCAGCCCCCCAAACAACAATTGTTGACAAATACTGTGATGGCCTAAAAAATGCCCTCAATTGTGTAACGTAGGGAAGAATGAGGTAAGTTGAGCCGCTTTTGTTTTTCGTAAGCTACAGGCTACCTTACTGATCATTTTTCTGCGTTTACGGGTTGGACGGACAGAGTGCGTCATTGCGCATGTAATGGTGGCCAGAAATGTTTCATACCGCTTATTTTTGTACTGAAAGGCTACGTCAAAAATCATCTTGCACGTTGCTCATCTTACCCCATGGGCGGGGTAAGTTGAGACACATCGTGGGGAAAGTTGAGCATGGATGGAAAAAGCGAACCTCTTCTTTTCCCGGGCGCGGCGAAGAGTGGGCTCTTTTATTAACTCCATGGCATACATAATTATGTCAAAGTTTTTTCCTCCATCAAAAAGTGACTGTTTTAAGCCTTCCAATAACTCGTCAAGTTTCCTATCACGGAAGAAATCATTTTATCCTTCAGATAATCTGCAAATCACTTACAAGTTGTGTAATCAACAAAGAAAAACAATTTCGTACCATTTTTATTCAGCAGAAACAAGCGCAGCTCAGTTATAAAAAGTATATCATTAGACGCGCCTTAACGTGCTGAGTTCACTGGTGCTTTTCTTTTTGCTCTATCTTAATTAGATCAAAAGTTATAAGCGAAAAACTTTTGACCTGTTTTTAGCGAAATTTTTACATTTATACCCCCCAAAACCCCCCTAAATATTGACCTAGAGCAACCAAATTTGCACAGGGGCGAGAACTCTAGGGGGCCCACCTACCTACCAAATTTGGTGTTTCTAGGCGCCATAGGAGCCAATCGCGAGGGGGTCGCATCGACCCCACCCTGCCAGGCCGTGTTATGAAAAATGCCCTGCCAGGGCGAGCAATCGATATTTAACCCTCACCTATTTAGGCATTTCTTTTCAGCGTCTTACATGTAGCGGAGGGGCGTAGAAACCCTCAGCCATTCGGCCCTTGATAAAAAGAGCCAGAGCTTCGCTGAAAAAAATAAAAAAAGAGCGTGCTGCTCGTGACGAGAGAAATCCGATGATTTGAGGGTCCTGGTCATCGCCGACGAGAAAAAGCCAATTATTTTTATGTCCTGGTCAATGCTGAGATCCTAGGTCACTGGTTGACCTTCCAGATCAGGTTAATAACCCAAAAGCACGGAAAATTTGGTCCTGCTAGAATTTCTACAAGTGAAGTTTGCTGGGACTTGGCTTGCTTCTGACTCCGAATTTGCACTTGCTTTGATCAAAGATGATGTATCAAAGCATTTGGGGTAGGACGGGTCACGCCAGATCACCCATTAGGCGTTCTGCCGGCTATATAGAATGTTAACCAGCACTTACAGCCTTGCAACATATTATGCATAGGCACTATAACTGATACGTAAGTATGCCTAGTTTTCAAATGCTAAAATGGGTGCTAAATTTCAAACCAACACTTCATAAAAAAACACAGTAAAAAGGTGTAAATTTAAGGAAGTTAACCGAGATCATTTCAACTAAATGACCTTAACCTGAGTTTCACGTGACCTTGGCACCCACAACAATTAATGAGACAAACATTAGATAGTATATTTCACATGTTGTCACGTTGCTAATCACGAAACGACTATGGAAACACACAGAAGATGTGCGCTGACTTTCAATTGCTATTCTAGCCTGACATGATCTTGAAAAAAAAAAATCACAAGTTAAAGGTTATTTGGTTCAGGGATTTAAAATTCTCAGACAAGATGCAAAAATGATTAGGGCTATTTAATTTTCCGGGAAGTTGTAACATTGATTAACTCCAGGGCACCAAAGAATCGTCGCAATCCTTCGCTTTGCCGCGATTTATTGGTGTAAAACAGCGGGCGAGGTCTACTTACCTTTACTTATATGTGTGGTGAGGGCTAATATTCATTTTATCTGTGTTGATGAATGTGCAACAATTTCTATATGAACTGAGACCAGTCCATATGAGTATGTTTTTCTCACGGTCAATGACAATATAAAAAACAATGCGAATAAAACCAAACGTTTCGGACAACAACGTGCCTTCGTCAGTGGAGAAAAATGAGTGTATAGGTTTAACATCGATGATAACTAAATGCGGCACTGTCTCGGTCTGGCCAGCCGGGTTGCCGATAAAATACACAAATGTTTATAAGCTTCCATGATGTGCTTAAAAAACTGCTGAAAATATATCTTTTTAAAAATAAAGATAACTACTTCAACGATGTTATCGAAAGAAAACATGTATGCCTAATTACTTATTTCTTGCCACTGACGGAGGCACTTTTTTGTGCGAAACGTCTGGTTTTATTCGTATTGTTATTGTATTGTCATTCCCTGTGAGAAAAAAGGATAACTCTTCAGTTGGTAACCATAACAGTGAAACGGCTTATTGTAACACAATTCACTGTGTATACGATGTGTAAGTCCCTAAAATGTGTAAATGTGTCTATGTGTAAAATGTGTCTATGTGTAAGTCCCTAAAATAATTTTATTTACAACCTTTAAAAAGATACAGCTTATACAGCTTGGGCATACAATTTTTTTCTGCATTTAGATAATATTAATTTATCTCCACAGAATATGGTAAACTAGTGCTGCTGAAGTTCGCTTTCGAAGCGTCTCCTCCAGGCATTCCACAGCTCTCGTGCCATTTTGGATCACGGAACATGGCTGGGCGCAGGACAGGTCAGGTCGTCTGCGAGCTTGGACGGACCACGTGACCACCTCCTCCACTCCCCCTCACTCCCGTCCCCTTCCCCAGCAGGGCGTCCGATCTAACCGCGCCCCAGGCAGTCGGCTCGGTCCGACCCTCCCCATGGTCGAGCCATGCGGTGCTGCCTGAGTTTGTGCCGGGTGCAAAACTGGAGCAGTAACTAGCGCCGGAACTAGTAGTCGGCACGACCATCGTCAGATGGCAGGAGTAAATGGAATAAGCGGTTCCAGGTTTCAGAAGGAATGGGGCAGGAAAAAGCGCTGAAAACAATGTTTTGCTGATATAGCCATAAAAAGTTCACTGAATTAGGAGAGCAGCACATCAGTTAAAAGCCCTTCAGATGGTGGTTTTAATAAGCACACAATCATTTCCCAATTCGCCTCCAACGGTGTGACAGGCAAAGAATACGCTGAAATACTAGTGTGTACAGAAGCAACTGCGGGTCCCTGTACCTAGTTTTCATGCACATTCAGAGAGAAGCTCACAAAATATTTTTGACCGCACACCACGCCCGCACTATACGCTATAAGCAAATTGAAGTGCGATCAGCCTCAGTAAATGAACCCTTCTTACAATTTACATCTCAATGGCACCACTCCATAGAGATTAAAACCTAGTCACTGCAGCAGCATTCCATATCACCTGAGATTAACATCCCTGTCATGTTTGAATCTGTGTGCGTTGAGTGCGACCCTTGTCATCGATACCTGTCCCGTCATGCTGACGGCCCTGGCCAAGGCTCCTTCTGGGTGGCTGTTCAGTACCGTTAGTCTGACCCAAATGGCGGTGAGGAGGGCCAGACCTACTTTGAACGCGGCGGACTTCAGGCGGAGGGCGCACACCGACCCACTTCTGAAGCGGAGCCCGACACAGGGACTGCCCGCCGGCCGGCCGCTGTGTAGTGATTTTGGCCAGGTGTGGTGATCGTGGCGATAAAAAGAATGAATACCAAGTCATTACCTTAATAGCTGACTCAACTGAGATGAATAAGAACGTAATTGCATGGAATGACCGGCCAAGTATAGGCTATTATTCATGCGTTAACGGTTCCTTAGGTGTTCAATCAATTAATGGGTAGGTTCTGGACTACAACTAGCAATGAATGGGTAATTATGCGCAGTTTCAAACTCAATTGATTAAATCGGTCACTTTTTACATCTTAGCAGGCAATGGGTAAGAAAAAGTATTGCTACAGTGTTGCAAAAAACAATGATTTCTCAAAGAGATCAAATTATTTCTTCCCATTTATCAATTGCCTTTGCAGTTTTCACCCACATAATGTTGGAGTATTCTTGATGGATGCGAGGGATAAAATGTGAGTGCAGCTTTCTCTTTGACTCCAATTCCAAACAAAGGAATAGCATCATTACTCAGCACTTCCAGGGTGCCAGTGCTGTGCCAAACGCGATAAATAGACGTCAGACGTGACACGAATTCAACGGCGTCTTCGGACAAACATGGCCCACTTCCTAAGACTTCTCTGGAAAAGCTTTTCTTTTGATGAACAGTGTTGTGTGCCATTTCCTAGCTCAACGCTGGATAAGCATCTGATGGGCCCTGCAAACATTCATCATATGTCTCCGATCTTTGGCCCGTACTTGTTGGCCCATCACCTCTTTTATAACTAACCGCATATAATTGAATCAATAACCGTAATGTTTACCGTCATCTAAAATTTTCAAAGTGCGTTTTGCAATGCGTCCTTTCACGCAATGTCGCCGACTCATTTTCTTGTCTAACTCTGGTCCTTTGTCCACAGCTTATGATGCCATCCAGGTGCTGTACATGCTGGAGCAGGCCTTCGAGAAGATGCGCGTGCTCGAGTTCGAGTGCCAGCAGCGTGCCGTGTGTGAGACCCACCAGGCTGACGCGCCCCAGAAGTTCGGACAGATCGCCACCGATATCCAGAAGTTCATCGGGTAAGTGGAACAGGAAAGCGTTCACTCACCAGATGGTAGGGCTTTAAGATCCGGGTTAGAGCGTGGCTAGGGCGGCCAAGCATTTGTACGATCTGCATTATCGGGTAACATTTTATATAACTATCGTGCTGGTAATTAACTGAACGATTGAAACAAAATTGAGTATGGCAAAATGTAGGTTTTTAAAATACGAAGAGCGAGCAAACCAAGCATCAAGCACCACCTGTAGCTAAAGCGTAACCAGCTGTAACACGAAACGAAACCGTAACCAAAACCTACCATAATAGAAATCACGATCCAATTACGGCCGTCTGGAGGCCCCGTTTTCTTTTATACGGACGACCAACTGGCCAGCCGTGGTCCTCTATGATTGCGGTGCCTGTCTGAAAGTGCGTGGCTGTACGGTGAGCTGCCACAGCGGCCGGTGAGAGTTTCCGCTGGGCCGCTATTATCGGAGGTTTATGTCACATTTCACTGACTTAGGATCGTCTGCCTCCCATCGTCCGCTGTCTCACGTCGTTAAAGGCAGATTTGACACGCTCCACTAGCCCCCAGAGGATATGAATGGCTTTTGAGTCGAGAGTGTTGCAGCTGTCATTCTGTTCGACTTTTTTGTATGTCAAATCATTTCATGAAGTTGTCAGCTAGTACACCGCTTTGGCGTCAACTCTCACCAACTGTAAACACTGCTTACAAGGCTTAAAATACTTGGAGCAAAATATATTTCCATGGAGTTTAATTTCAAAATTGCCGTAAAATTTGAACCGTTTCCATAAAACTATTCGGCTAGAATTGCCCTAGCGTTGGCTCTAATTACGTTTTGAGGCAATTCTGTCTGCTGTACGGTTCAGACTTCAGAGCTTTCGCTTTGATGGGACGAAAGTAGAATTGAATCATTGTTCAGCGGAATGGTGCCCTGGATTCACTTTCACCCGCTCTGCCACCCAAATTGGCTGGTTTCTTCAGTAAACAAGCGCTCTGACGCAACCCTGGCCAGCTGACTTCCTATTTCAAAATCACAACCAACAGAAGGGACGGAGCTTAATGGGATTTTGGAAACGCTTCTTGCTTCATCGTTATTACAGTGTCATAGGCTTTTTTTTCAATGAGCAATTCCTGCACGCTTGAATTCGACTTTGACTTGTGGAAGGTGGGAACAGATTCACTTCACACGGCGGGTGTTTCTTTTCTAGCAAGTTGTTTATGATCTATATGTTGATTATTATGACATTACTTGTTCCGAAATAAATACACCCTTCGTTAGGAGCAAAACTGTCATTGTTCGAAGTTTACAAAATGCAAGAAGCTCAGACAAAAGAGTTTCTTGCTACTTTTTCCATGTTTGAAAAGCAAAAAGAGTGTTTGAAACGTACCGACGTCATTTTCTATATCTACCTCTCTCTCTCTCTTTCTCTCTCTCTCTCTCTCTCTCTCTCTCTCTCTCTCTCTCTCTCTCTCTCTCTCTCTCTCTCTCTCTCTCTCTCTCTCTCTCTCTCTCTCTCTCTCTCTCTCTCTCTCTCTCTCTCTCTCTCTCTCTCTCTCTCTCTCTCTCACTCACTCACTCTCTCTTACACACACACTCTCTCTCTCTTCTCTCTTTCTCTCTCCCCCCTCCGTCCCCCTGAAGCTGACCAGTCTGTCCATGAGTCTAACTAACTCTGACCTCTCCCCCAGCTCTGTCGACGAGTCGACCGTTGAGAACTCCAGCAAGTTCGCCGCCTTCCGCGAGGCCGCCCGACGGGGCGCCGAGCAGCAGGACTGCCAGCAGGCGTACGCCACCAAGTGCCCCAAGGGCCTGCGCGAGTACCTCTCTGCCGAGTCAAAGTACTAAGTACTGCGACCGACCAGTACCGAGTACCGCGCGGCGGCCAGTAGCAAGTACCGCGCGTGCCACCGTCGGCGCTGTCGCGACAGTGACCGAGCGGTCAATGGCCAAGAGGAGGGAATGCTTTTCGGGCTTCCGAGATGGCTGCCTGATGAGGCCATGTTTCTGCCGCTAGTGGAACGTATGAGAGGAAATCGAGCATTGGAATGCGGTACCGATCGTTATTCGTTATTGACGTGAGCTGAGAGCGGTCCCGCCGATGCCACGCCAACTTGCGTTGTTATTGGTAGTTCAGTTAGCTGTTGTTGAAACTGTATTTATGTATTTATTTGAATCTCGATTTGAGAAAGAGCCGCTACTAGGCGTGCAACTCAGGTGATTGTTACGGCACTGTTACCTACATGCTAGGTCTGTTGCGAACCGTTGTTACGAGAGATCGAGTGAATGGTAATATTCAGTCGGCTTCTCCTTGCTACGGGAAGTCTACTACGTTTTCCAACTTCCCAGTACAAATAGCTTCCTTGCCGGTTACACAGACCACGCCAATCCAGCTATTGAATCAGGTCTGTTCATTCGACAGCACGTGAGCTGAAAATAAATCTGTCATGCGAGAAACTTCCTCTGTTTGTTGTCTGTGTGTCGCCTTCCCGAGAAAACGCGGCTAATGAAGGAAGCGACCAACAGGAAGACACCCAGCTTTCACACTGCTTTCACATTTGCGCAGCTTCGCGGGAGCGTTTTAGTCTCACCCACGCCTTATTTAGTGAGAGCTGACCATGTCAGACCCGCTGGCACCGATTTCGTTCGAGACGGTAATTGCCTGCTCTACGAGGACCGTGTGTACGCCGCTCGCCAGCCACCCCCGCTGGGGAGGTGTGGATAGGTCGGCCCCGCGGGCCCGGTCCCACAGCGGGGCCCAGCGCCGAAAACGACAGTCTCACCGCTAAAACGCCCTGTCACTGATCTCTATCACCTCAGATGAGATCCCGTGGTGAATGTTAAACGGCGGCAGAAGCGGAGAATCACTTTCAAATTTGAAGTATTTGGGCCGATTTCTCGAGCACTACAACGCACTGGAATTTGTGCTGGGATGTGATGATTAGGTAAAAGCTTCTGGACTAGGATTGCATTGAAAATTACTTCGTCGTTAGGTTTTCGAAACGTTTAGTTTAAACTGAAGAATTTCAATGTAGTGGTGAGAGAGCCACTCTCTTCAACTGGCAATCAATGACTTTGTAACATTAGGACGCTGTTAATAGGTATGCATGCACGTAAGTACTTCCAGTTTAGGTACAACAATCTGCTCAAGAGATTTGAAAGAAAATAGTAAAAAAGATAATGTTTGCTTAGCCTTTGTAGCCGAGCCCAAGCGGCCGATGCCCTTTCATTGTTGTTAACGTCGCACAGGTTAGGAACATTTCAATTGCAAATGTTCCCCGGTGGATATGCTTTGTCATTCAGTAGCAATATACCACGCCGTCGGAGCTGCGTCATATGATTGTGCCCACTGAATTCATTACATCATAGCTGCACAAAATGCACACTCACAACCACTGCGCTTCCGTCACTAGCCAGCAGACCGCCGAGCCGCACCTGTGTGCAGCATTCACGAGTCATTGCGCTGGAGTCTCTGAAGCCTGACTGCATAGACTAACCCGCCGCGCACCAAACGGGTTTGCTCAGATGCTGTCTTATGCGCCGCTGCAGTCGCCGTGCACGGCGGCACAGCCTATCTCTCAGATAGCTGCCTGTGTTTCATTGCAGTCTCGTGTGCAGCGGCACAGTCTATCCCAGACTTGTCAGGCGGCTGCTGCTGCTCGCCGGGCGCCTCCGTTACGCCAGTTGAATTGCAATTATGCAGGCGAAGGGTTTCACCCTTCGCCTTCGGATTCCGAAAGAGTGCACGGTAAAAGTAAACTGCGGTGACAATGCGATGTTCAACATCAGTACTGCATGGCTGAGAGGTCTTGACAGCGATAACACTTTAGAGCTATTTTCTGCAGCAAACGAAACGTGTCTGAGAGCATCTTTAATTTCATCGGGTCTAAGCTAATGCATGGGCCGAATACACTGATTGTGTTTTGGTTAGGTATCTGCTTAGGCGTGTGACCACTCAACTATCTAATTGTTTCACCCGAATGCAATGTATGCATCATCATCCAAAGCCTAGAAGTGGTGTTCCGATGCATTGCAGCGAAGGCACTGGCTAGTGGCTACGATCAGTTCCCTCACGATACTGCTTTTCGAACGTTGCCCTTCGTTATTGTACTTATTTGCGCTACAGAGAAACTTTTTCATTTCAAAATTTCAAAATGGACCAAATAAAAAACATTTTTTTCAAACTTTTATCATGTAGGTAGCATCAACATTATGTTTGTTGCATACAATAATATGAACACTCTTGATTTTATTTGTAAGTGGATCATTCGTACACAGCTGCTTTAGCATTTACGGTACCTCATCCCATCAACTTTTATACAGAAGCAGCTAAGCCCTCTTCATTAAAGTTGCGATACTACAGTATCTCAGCATTCATTATCATTCAGACTCCGCAGCCTTGTTTACCCGGTCGGCGGTGTCACTTCTTGCTCTCCAGCCTCCCAATCTCCAACAAACTTTCGAGAATGGCCAGTTTCTCGGGCCACGTCAAACATACGTGCCGCTGAGCTAACGGAGCAGAGCATTCCAAAAGGTCGACCCCGCTGAGCGAAATCGGGTCACTAGCGCTGTGGCACTGCTTACCAAACAGCCGCAGCCGCTGTTCTCGACGTTCATGGCGCGGCGTTAGGAGCGCGGTATTCGTGGCGCCTCTGAGTAGTTGGAGGGCGTTTGCGGCGCAGCGGCCGGTGCGGCGATGGGAGGCGCGGCACTGTATCGGGCACTTACAGACCGTTACACCGGTACTCGGCGCATTATGATGAACAGCTAAGCGATCGAACGGTGTGCGCTAGAATGTTGGGGACGACATAAATAGCGGTGGAATGGACCGACCCATGCCCATGAGCTCTTGTTACTCATATGCTTATTTTTATAGTGATCGTCTGAGTTATGCATTTTGGGCTAGCCCGCTAGCGCATCACCTACAGATGGTGGGCATATATA